TTCGCTGGGTTCTGTGAAAGTGCGGGTTCAGGCCCCTTCCTTCGGTAGTGAGCTCGAGCCCAGACAGATTTTCATGAGTATCATGTGGAGCTTGGGCAGGTGCAAAACTCCTACTTTCCATAAGAAAACCTACCCCCGCATCTTTGTAAGACTTCGGGTGATGTTTTAAGTCAGGAACTTAGGAGGTACATCTGCAACCCGTGTCCTTATTCAAATGACAAAGGCAGGTAAGTTTCCCAGCGTCGGAGAGACTTCCCCTCAGTCCGTTTCCTTGGCAGAGCTCGCACTTCCTACTTTAGTAAATGCGCTGTCCCAGGTCTGAAACCATTTGACCCAGGAATTCCTCAGTACAGGGGGTAGACAGGCTGCTTGGGTGACCTGGAGCCCCAGAAGAATTCATGTGGAAATGAGACAGCAGTTGAGAGCAAAGGACTTGGTGAAAAGAGAGAAAGGACAATGTAGTGGGGCGGGGGAGTAGGGTGGTCTTCCTTGGCCAAGTTGATCATTTACATAGAATTAATTTCTATGTTCCAAGCAGGGCTAGTGGAATTTTAAAAAAGCACTTCTCAAACAGAAGCAATTGATTTTGAATTTGTTTTAAGGAAACCTAGTGGAATGATGGATGTTACAAAATACGGTTAAACATTTTTTATCTGGCTCTATGACACTGTATCCTAGGATTTTTCTCTTTCAGCCTATTCTTCAGAGTAAAATGGAAATGAGCATATTGCAGCCCAAATTTCTTCTGCATTCTTTCCTAGCTCCCTAAGTTGAGAATGATTACACTATCGCCTTTGTTACTTAGAACCACAGCAGTCAGTCACCTGTGTTTCTCAAATGCAGCTGGACAGGGACATAAATAATCAGAAACGATAAGATATCTATAAACTGTAAACTGTAAAAAGTTGGAAAGATTAACGGCAAGTGTGAATTCAAACTTTCCCTGCGAGGATGGTTGGAGACGTCCTAAAATAGGGCATGCAACAAGATGAGGTATTGCGTTTTAGGAAGATCTGAGGCTGTTTTTGGGTTTCCTGCTGTGTCTGTGGGTCATCACTTCCACACTGACAGTTTCTGTGGACGGGAAAATATCTAAAAGTCAGGTTTTTTTCAAATGTGAGTGGTCTTGGTTTTGTCTCGGAGTTGCTTATCTCTATTCTTATCAGTTAATGATTATATAGCTTCAGTCTGCAAAGTGATTTTATTTCATTGTGAATATTTTGAGAGTCACTTTCCCTTGCTTCCTTAAATCTGGATTTTTTTTAAGTAGGTTACAAACTATCTGAGTGAATGTCGCCTGTAATGCCTGTTAAAATGCTGACTCCCCAAAATATGTTGAGAGAGACAGAGACAGAGACAGAGACAGACAGAGACAGGGAATGGGAAAAGGGTGTGTTCTTAGGGGTGGAGCAGTCAGGATCTCTCAAGTTAACATGGTGCCCAGGTACTATAATCCCATGGACTGCTTAGCTGTGTGTTCATTTAGGTAAAACCACAAACTTCTCTTAATTTATTCTTAAAATTGAACCTAATACTGCTTGATGCAGTGTCTCATAAAGGAAAATGAATGTATCATCTTTTAAATATGATGGAAAAAAATTCCCATAGGCAGAAATGGTCTGTTTTAGTAGGGTTTTCTACTCTGCCGATGGAGTTTTGTTTAGTCCTATGAGAATATAAATAAGTTCCACCATAGAGACGTTATCCAGTTTGTTCACCGCTCTATTGCCAACCTGTAAGTAGCCCATAGTAAGAATTTAATACAAAAAAAAGAATTTAATGCATATTTGAGGAATGGATTTTAATCACTAAAAAGGTAGCCTGTGAGTGATACAATCCAATTATCTTTCCTTCCTAGGAAATGTTTTATAAAAATTTCCTGCATATTTGTAAGGTTTATTTGTGTCGTTAGACACTTTTCTGTTTCCCAGACAAATTATCCAACACTCTCAATTTAGGAGAGATTTATTTTGGCTAAAGTTTTTAGAGGATTCAGTCCATCGTCGACCAGCTCCAAGGTATGAAGGGAAGGGTGGAAAGGTTGGGGGAGGAGAGCTGCCCATATCATGGTGTCCAGGAAGCAGAAAAGGAGGGGAAGAGCTAGAGAGGGAAATGCACCCTTCCGGGCCACACACTCAGTGACCTGTCTTTTCCTACCACACTGCAACTCCTAATAGCAAGTTAGCTGTCACACAACTGTGATCCACTGTGGTTTCAGAAACCCCACCTCTGAACATAGGCATCTTTGGGGGATGGTCCAGATTAAACCATACCAGTACATCTTTGAGATTTAGCCAGTCTTTCTGATATGTCTAGTTATGAGTCTTATTTCATGAATCTTGTCTAATACTTGCCTAGTTTGAGAAAATTTCTTCTTTTTCCTTTTAAATTATTACATTCAGTTTTCCTTCCTGCTTCAGAGTCTATGATCTTGTAGATCTATTTTATTTTTCTGATGTCCTTCCTTTTAGAATTTTCACTGCCCCACAGATTGCCAGAAAAATTCTTGTAGCTGTGCTTCTAATTCACTGATTCGGTTTCCTTTTGCACACAGTCTCTCATTGGTCTCTAAGAAAACTTTCCTGTTCTCCAATCGTTATTTATTTTTGTGTAGCTGACTCCAGAGTTAGACTTGAGGGTATGAATTATGTAGTATAGAATAGTTACTTTTCCCTTATGTTTTATAGTAACTTATAGTAGAATGCTCAAAAAATGACCCTCTTCTTTGAACTGTTGACTCATTCAGTGTGTACATTGATTTTTTAAAAAAAGTATGTATTACAGATTTTAGGTTTAGCTTTAGTACTGAGTTAAGTCCCAGTGAGGAGAAGGTAAGTTCATGTAAGTATTTTCCAAAGACTACTTTTACTGTGTGTAAAACCATTTATTCCCTAGATCCTACATCTTCAGGTTTTAGAACAGTACACTTGTAGTGTTTGAGGCTGCAAGTGTAATTGACGTGCATTGTTTTGCCTGACAATCCACTTTCTTTTCCTTTGGGAAAAGCATACTTACCTGTTTGGGGAAGTATTTTTCCCACGCTAACGTATATTCTGAATGGACCTTTCTGTCTACTTCTCTTGGGGATTCCCTAGGTATGAATGCCATAATCCAACTGAGGTGTGGTGTTCGTCTCCCGTGTGAATGAGGTACTTGCAAACCAAGCTGACTCAGAGCCCTCTGAGAGTTTTCAAACCTGGTCAGGAGGGAAGAGCTGTGTCTTTTTGTTGACTGAACTGAGCAGGTCTGAGTCAGGAGCCAGTGTGGCTACAGTTAAAACTGAGCAGAGAATCCTAGTTATGTAAAGTGCATGGATGCCCAAAGAGAAACAGAAAAGAGCACTATTGAGGGCTAGTTGTACTCTACCTGAGGTTTATCTGTGTTACAGGAATTTGATTACGAGTCAAGACATTTTTCAAAAAGTCAGTTTTGAAGATTTTTGTCATTTGCCTTCTAAAAGGTCTCCAGTAAAAGCAGTTTGTAAGAATGCTAATGAAAATGATATTCCTGAGGAAGGAAGCCCTTTTACTCCTTGGTAAGATTCTACACTGTCCCCACATCCTGCAGAGCACCACAGAAATAACAGAGAGACTCTCAGGACATCAGGCGGAGTTCTCAGGATTGCTCAGTAGTAACAAGCATCTGCTCCTGAGAAATGTTGGAGACTTTTGATAACCAGCCTTTCTGGGGATGTATGCCTGTTTAAGGGGAAATTTACCTCCTCAGACTTTGAGAATCCCCCCTATAGTAGTACAAAGTTCATAACTTACTTCTCTAAAGATTCTGGTGAAGCCTCTAATCTCCAGTGCACGGTGACTGGGGGGAGGAGATTGACAGGTCATGTATTAGGATGAGATATTCCCCAGTTTTCTGTGTTAAGTTTGTATGTTTATGGTATAAGTTATAGGAAAGAAGGGAACACTTGGGATTGAAAAGATTACTAAATATTTGATTGTGTGATTTTTTTTTCTATTCAAGATTGTTTTGGCCTCCAAGATCAGACCATAATTCATGCTTCCTGGCATTCAGGCCTCTGTGTCATCTCATCATAGATGGAGGGGTGTGGTACCTGCATGGCCAATAGAATATAACAAAAAATGAATGTGAGTCTTGATATTGGGTCCTAAA